ATCGTAGCACATGCTGTCTGTAGCCTTTTTCATTGTTGTTGAAAAACACCTGATAATTAGATGCCACCGGGAACGTGCGTCGGTTCCGATTCCGTTTCCCACGCTTACGAGGGCAATTCGTTGGAACTGGTGACGTGTTCACATCACTCTTGACTGTATGGTTATCAAATTGCGAGAATGACGTTTGTGATGCTGTCGGACACGTGCTGGGATCTATGCAAGGCCTAATAAGGAGAACTAGTAACTATGCACAAGGTTAGTGATGTCGTTTCTTCTTCATTTAATGTCTTTTAAGGTAGTCCATAAATGAAGGATAAGAAAGCCGTGACTCAGTGATTCAACCGGCGATCGAATGGTTTGCTATGTATGGGAGGCTCAGATCAGCAAGAGGTGCGGGAATCATGTGGAAGGCTTGGCGGAAGGCCCATCTATGTAGCCCACAGCGCCATGCTTACCGTGAGAGGGTTCATGTCGGAAGCACCTTGAATCCAACCAAAACTGACGCGTTTTGTAACTTTGAGTCCATTGTAAACGTACCTTATGTCAACCACTCACTGGAGGCTAGACGACGCCTAGGGTTGGCCTGAAAGGGCGTTTCTATTCTCCTTCTACATAATGCTAATCTTTTACGAAATCGTGGTTCTCTTATCGAACTGCAGGTTCTTGTTGGGAATGCTAGAAAAATCGGACGGAGAGGGCGTAGCGGCAGGTGTCGCACACCTCTTGCGCAGTCTGACGAAATCCGTGATCGGATCCCGCACCTTCCTCCCCCCTCCGGAGCCGCTTAGGCAGCGTTCAAATGAGAAGATTCGGCGCTTTAGGAGACTCGGCGTTGGGAGAATGAGCGACCCGGCGATTCGAAAGATTTGGCGATCTGGCATTCCCTGAGATTGCCGAATCTCCGCAATCGCTAGCGACCGGCGCCGATCAGTACCAATCCACTTCTTCGAGGCGCAGTCGCCGGAAACGCCGAGTCTCCCCAACTGTCGGAACTCTCAGTCCCCTCAGTCGTGAAGTATCGACGTGGCTTTAAATGGTACCACTCCTTTCTGGTAGTAGAAAACACTATAAACTACTTCTATAAGTTGGTCCCCATGTGACACGTATGGACCAAATCGCAATCGCAGCCGCTTTCTGAACGAAAGTAGAGTGTAGGGCACATTCTAAAAGAGGCTGATCAATGCCAAAACTCTCTTCTCTTCAAACTGGAAGATCTCAGATATTTCTTCATATGCTTCCCATTTTAGCCCAAGTTGATTCAAACTCAAGGAAAACCTGTGAGTTGCGACTGGTCGAATCGCGCATGGACCTGTTGGTACCGGAATGCGTTTTTCCCGGTGAACCTTTATGACATAAGAAATGTCAGATAGTTTGTTAATTTTATAAATGAACGTTCCTTCTCTATCGACCTTATTGTTATCTATTCCATACGTCATCATATCTCATGACATCTGTTGAATGTGCCAAATCTAGGTTAATATTAAAGTTTTAGTGTGGAGTAGGGTCTAGACAGTGCCAGTATGTGCCGTAATAACAAATGATTTATGGTTAGAATTCTTATTTTGTTGTGAGCAATAAATAAACAAGTGAAATGTGGAGTGACACGTCGGCAGGATAATTGAGCAATCTTTGTCATATCCTATGATCAGCGCCTACAGCTTGACTAACGTTCGTGTATCCATCTCGTCTCAGCAATTCCGTTAATTCACGTTTTATCTGAAAAAAAGAGTATAAAATAAATAGGAATATAGGCAATATCTTCAGAATAAGGGAAAAGTACCCTATTCTCTGGGTGTATGGCGCTTTCGTGTATAAGGCGAACCCAACGAATGTTTTTTCTGGCTTTTTTTCGCGTAGTTTTCATTTGTTCATGTCTATATGACCGGTTTCTACTGTACAAGAAGTGTTCGGAAACCCAATAGCACATTGAAATTTCCAAAATGACAAAAAGGTGTTGCTATGTTTGGAAAGTTTTCACAGGCCTCTCCAAGACGGCCATGCGCCTTATACTCCATGAAGTTTTGTAATACTGCTCATTTGAGCCAAAGTCAGACAGGAGGTTCGCAGGTCCTATGTGTGAAAGTTTTAAAGCATTGGCACGATGGTTTCCCACTCGGCCTAAATGCTAGTAGCCGCTTACCTGGGAGTGGGGATAATGGCTGAAAGAATTGGCAGTGAAAAACGCGTCAAAATGTGCGAAGAAAAAGCTACGCTCTCAGTATCTTAAAAATTGATTTCGGCACGAGTGCCCGTACGCTATCTTGCCAGTCATCAGCCTCCAAAATTACGCGCTGCATATGTGATATCCATATATTCATTGCAGTGATCACCGCAATTCATACACATTCCTTTGCTTTCATATATGTTTAGCCTCCGCCACATCGACCCCCATGCCACACTCCGAGCGCTCAGCAACGTTTGTGGGCGCGACGTGCGAGGGTGTGAGGCGTGTTGTGGGTACGGTGTTTTGGTTGCTCGATTTAGAGGTGTGTTATAGGGGTACTTGTTGGAAAAGTGGCCGACGAGCCAAGGCCTGCTTCCCAGGTCACGGGGTTCTGATGGCTCAGGTCGTATAATCCTAATCGTATAGCGATTTTATCTGCCAAAGTGGCCTTTGAGGCAGTGTTCAGGCGTGGTGCCCTGGTCACCCATCTATGGTACCACGTCCTATTCTTTTATACGTCTCTCCAAACACAGCGAGCGAGGCAACCGATCGATACATCTGTTGTTGCGATTCTCATGGAAGGGGAGTAACGGTCTTCGGGCCACGGTGAACCCTGCGACGCCGCGTCTCGATCGCATAAAAGCGTGATACGATAAGTTTCGAAGTTATTACTCTATTAATTTCAGCTTCAAAAAGCTGAAATTCGTCCAGCATCAATAAGGAAAGGTAAATGTATTAATGAAGCTAGATTTCATTTTGCATGAATTGAATACAGCAGAAATCAGCTTATTGGTAGCGTTAGCAATTATAGATCGGCGAGAGTCCAGACGGAAGAGTGAGTAGGTAGTGCGGCGGCGTGTGTTCAAGCGCAGAGTCAATGTTAGAGAGCGCAGAGACAGTGATGGTGATGGCCCGAGGCCTCCGCCTTTCCACCGACACGCAACCGTCGGACCGCTCGCCAGCATGGTCGTAGGACCGCCCCACCGTCGCGTGAGCACTACACTGTAGCTGCGTTCCTGTCTATAGCACTGGAGCGCGAATGCAATAACAGCGCGTCATCGCGAAGTCTGAACGCTGCATAACGTGCCCTTCTTCAAGGGAAGTAATCTAAATTTGTGGGAAACTCAGTAGCCCGCAAGCACGCTAGCGTTAACGAAACAAACAAGCAGGCTAATAAGGATAGGAAGTTCATCGTAACCATGTATTGTTGACATTTTCATAAGGAATTGTCTGACTAGAATTTCTCAAACATCGAATTGGGAAATCCGTTAGTCTGGTGCGGCGCGCCAAAACTCACGCTTCAATAGTTTGAAGAACGCCAAATGAGAGCGTAGTCGTGCCTGTGCCTACGACCTTGCGGAGGTGGGGGATGTGGATATCCAGCAGTCTCGAGAAGGCCTCCTCGCTCCTTTTTATTTGACTCTTTAGTATTTTCTTTTCAAAGGGTAAAAATTGGTTGTAATTGGAGCATACCTTCCCAACAACAGGGA